GTGAATACGGTTAGAATGTAATATCCAATATAAACATGAAGATAAACCACATGGCATTAAGTCATTCATGAATACATTCCACATGCTATGATTAGGTAGAAACATCAACCCTTAAAACAACATACACACATCCTAAACAACACCAAGCCATCCATGAATATAATCCAAAAACCACGAGAGGGACGAATAGTATCATGCCTAACCCAACATTGAGCACAATCCAAATGACCTTAATTAATCATTAAATTTGAATTTTACCAAGTTGTAACATCATTAAGCATTCGATAGCCATAGACTAAATCCATCATAAGACACCAACATACAATCCTCCATTCATCCTACTTAGGCCGAACCATATTCCATCCATACAACCTTCTAATTATTTAACCTATCAAACTAAGTAACCATAAGCAACCTAAATCTACCAAGAAACCGAGACCACCATTTAATTATCCTAGCCAAGTAAGTGTTCGGTTATCCCATATACACTGCATACCAAACCATGTAACCTAGGAAAATTCTTACCTAATTCATCAAGCAACATATCACCTAATTTCGTATAACCATTTAATCATCAAGCTAAAACTGAATTATAACAAGCATACTCTAAATTGAATTCACCAAGGCATACCTTACCCTAATTCAATCCTTATAAAGAAATCAATCATTTTAATCCATAAGCAAATCTATAGGCTCTCAAGTGAGCCCTAACCGAATTCAACAACAATAACACAATCACTTAATCAACAAGCCAAGTCTAATTCATCATGCTTCCTTACATTCAATCTATCATCAAGTAATTCACATAACCCAAATCCATCAATTAACAACTCAACAATCACTTCATCATTAAGAGAATCCATAATCTCAATAATAATATATCCATAAACTCAAAAATAAGTATATTTCCATAAACATGAGTAAAAATCATCAAGTAATCAACCATTAATTAAACTCACACCCGAGTTATACAATCGTTAACTAATTACAAGTTCACCACATCAAAAATGGTCCACCATCATTTAATGACATAATCGAAACTCTAAGACCATTAGGACATAACATTCTCTAAGCAAAGTCATCATCTCAATTATTTATCAACAATTAATCACTTACCCATCATCACTATGGCTAAATTATAATAAACAATAAAACCATCACTAAATCAACAAACCAAAGCCAAATCTATCTAAAGTCACCCAACAAAATTAATCCAAACTCAATTTACACATACTAATCGAGCATAGCCATGAGCACTTATCAATCAAGTTTAACCAACACTTAATCACATAGCTCACACTAAGAATTTAAGTTTTTCATAAACATCAAATTACCCATGATAAATCTATAATTAAACACATACCCATCATTATTACAATGGTCATTCACCAATTTGTTACTTACCTAATCACATCACAATATAAAGTCCCCATTTAATAACTAACTATACCCTAGAAACTCTATGTTTACATAAACATTACATTTAACACATCAAATTAACAATTAGACACATGCCATAATCTCACATTAGTCAATCATTCATCAATTTCACACAACTCATTCAATGGCATAATTTGAAAACCTAGGTTTTACAAGAACACAATTTACTAATTCAACACATAATTATCCTAAGTCTTGTGGTGATTTAAAGTTATACTTACCTTAGGTTAATTTGAAGTGAAAATCACCTTAGAAATCCTTAAAATGCCTTTTCTCTTTCTTCCTTAAACTCTCGGCCAAAAAAAACCCTCTCCTTCTCTTGATAATTTCTCCCCTCTTTCGGCCAAACTCTCATCCTCTAGAGCTAAGCTTGTTTCCTCTTGATAATTTTGGGTCCTTTCCTTAAGAAATTCACTTTCTCCATTGCTTTCTATCTCTCTTTCTCTCCTAGGAATTTCAGCTCTTAAATATGGGTGGTGGCAAAATGAAACTCAAATGAGAACTTAATGAGCTACATGTTTTAAGGTAGTTATTTTACACTTACACATTTTAATTTAGGTATAACACCTAATTATAATATTATTTTCTAAATTAATACATGTTTAGGTCATTAATTAAATTTTAATCCTAAGTTACACATGATGAGAATCATTTAATTAATTTATATTTTCTAAATCTTTCACTTATCAATTAATTCACTATTCACACGTAACACTTATCAAATATTAATTTTACAAATAAAACACTTATAATTAATAATACAAGCATGACATGAACATACTTAATAAAATAATTATTTATATTAAGCATAGACATTAAGTCTAGGTCTTACAAAAAGGTCATCCGAGTGATTTGTATTTCTTTTTTGATTGGATAGCCTATCAAAGTTTTGTATCTCCGATCTTGTTTTTTTTTTTTTTTTTAAGAAAAGGATCACTCAAAATGTTTGATATATCTTTTTTGATGGGATCACTCGATCTTGTTTGAACATTGTATTTTACTTTTCAAGACATGTCTCCCTTCACAACATGGTCATCGTATTGTACGTTTAAGGACGAGCTATCATTCATAACAAAATCATCATATTTTACTTTTCAAAGTGGGTCATCCTATAAAATAAGGCTATCGTATTTTTACTTTCGGGTAGACCGCCCTTCACAAAAGGCATTGTATTTTTATTTTTTAAGGTAAACTACCTTTCATAATAAGGCCATCATATTTTTACTTTTCGGGGTAAGCCATCTTTCATAAAAAGGCCATCATATTTTACTTTTCAAAACATGCGCGTCTTTCATAATAAGGCCATCATATTTTACTTTTTCAAATAGATTGCTTTTCATAATAAACTCAAATTTTTTTCCGATTGATAGTCATAAAAGAGTAGATTTAGGTATTGCCATTGAGAAATGCTTGATTGATTAGGGAATTGAGAAGGTTTTTAGTGTTACGGTTGATAATGCAAGTTCGAATGATATGACAATTAGGCACTTAAAAGATGTGATTAAGAATTGAGGTTATAACATCTTAGATGGAGAATTCATTCATATGACGTGTATGGCATATACTTTGAATCTAGTTGTTGTTGATGGGTTAAAACATTTTAATCCTTCAATCGTTCATATTCAATCGGCCACTAGGTTTACGGGGTAATCTTTAGCTAGGTTAAGAAGATTTAAGGAATGCATTCAACTTAAGAAAATTGATTCTAAGAGTTTTTTACAATTAGATGTCACAACTAGATGGAATTCAACATATTTGATGTTAGAGTCGGCTCTAAAATTTGAAAGAGCTTTTAACGGATATGAGCAAATTAATCCTTGATATAGGTGTGAATTTGATATAGATCTTGATGATAATATTATTGGGCCACCTAATGTTGATGATTGGAAGACTTTTAAGAAGATGATGGGCATGTAAAATTTTTTATACAACCTTACTTTGCATATTTTGGGTTTTTTGTATGTGACTTCAAATATTTTTTTTGAAGAGATTTATGCACTCGAACATGTTTTGAAAAAATAGCAATGAAGTGACGATTTGGATGATTTTTCATTGGCTAATAAAATGAAAGAAATTTTTTTGAAGTATTAGAAGGATATTAAGAAAATGAACAAGTTGATTTATATTGCGACAATACTTGATCCTAGGCATAAACTTGTATTTATTGAATTTTCAATCAAGGAATTGTATGATGATTTAGAGGGTCAAAATATGTCAAATATTTTGAAGGAATCTATATGTGCAATCTTAAGATGAAATTGGCCAAGGTAGTGGAAGTCTAGAAATAGATGTTGATTGTGCAAATGAAGAAATAGTTGATAAAGAAGAAAATAGTATAAAAATGGAGATAATAATGCATTTTATAAAATACAAGTATGATATTGGAGATGGAGGAAATAAAATGGAGTTAGACAAATATCTTGGTAAAAGTGCTAAAAATAATAGTCCCGATTTTAATATTTTAGAGTGGTGGAAAACCAATTCTCCTCGGTTTCCTATCCTTTCACAAATGGCTAGGGATGTATTGACGGTTTCTATTTTTACGAGTCTTAGAATAGACATTTAGCATTGGAGGAAGAGTTCTTAACTACTTTAGGAGTTCTTTAACACTTAGCTTAGTGGAATCTCTTATATGTGCTCAAGATTGGATTAAAAATTCATCAATGCTAATTATTATTGAATAAAATGTACAAGATGTTGAGAAAATGCAAGATAGTAATTTCTATAACTCTTATCTTTTCATTTGTTGTTTGTTTCCTCTATATTAATGTTAAAGGGTTAATTTTTTTATCTTATATTTTTTAGAGTTACCAATTGCCACTACCTTTAGTCCAAATGTTTGATGGGTTGATTACTTGATGGTGTCTTGGCTTTTGAATGATATGTGTAAGTTATTAAGTTTCTAAGTTTGATTTTTTTTTTTCTATTGCTTTTGCATGTCTCACTTTCATTGGTCAATACTATTGCCTACTGACCTATTGTAATTAAATTTTCATTACACATATCGGTATATCGAGGCTGTCCATTAGATGTCTCACGGTGTCCAAGGCTCTAAGCAAGCAAGTGGGAGCTGTGGGAGGAGGCTCAAGGTCGTCCGAGGCTCCAAGCAAGACTCTTTATTGTTAGTAATTTTCTTTCGGTTTTTGGATGTGTAATAATTTCTAATTTGGTGCATTATCTTTGTTCTATGTGTCATGATTTTGGTATGTTAAGCTGTTGATGAATCCGTTACTTTTACCTTCGTTGAGGTGTTAGTAGTCAAAGTCAAGTAGGTTTGAATTCATCCCGAAGGTAGTTAATGTTATGCATACTTTGCTTTTCATATTTGTTGCATCTAGTGTTTCCGGATGAATCTGTCCATATTTATTGAATGTAGTCAAAGCAAAATTGTTGATTGTTGAATGTTGAATGTTGTTTTCCATATTTCCATATTTTTTGAATGTTGTATCTAGCCATATTTCATATTTGCTGCATTTGGTTCTGCCTAGTGCCTTCTAGTGCTTACGCCTTCTACCTTCGCCCTCGGATTGGAGTTTGGACTTCTTGCTTGTTGATTAAAGGTAATGCTACTAACCATTGTCAAGGGAAAATATTCGGGTGATGCGGATGTCACTCTCATTTATGTCCGGACTTCTTGCCTTCGCCTTGTTTTGGTTCTCTCTCCTGGCTTGTCATTTATGTCTTAGAAGAAGTGAAAGTGGTAAATGTTAGCATATTGAAATTCTGTAATTTTCGATCTAGCCATCCGAGTCAACAAATTGAAATCAAAGTCATAGTTATAGATCCAACATATGTAATCACCGAGAGCAACATATGATGTTCAAGACTTTAAGCTTTAGTTTGTTAGTTCACGTATGATGTTATTTGTGTATGTGTTACGTATTGCAAACCAAAACTTTGAAAATCATCAAATTGAAAAGAACTAGGAGAGTGTATGTGTGTGTGTTTTGGTAGTGGGGCATGTAAGTTGTATATGACTCTTGTGTCCTTAGCTACCAAGGTTGACTTGCAAATATGGCATCCAAAACCAAAAGACTACTTGGACAAATTTCTTTATGCCTATGCAAATGAAGTAATGGAACCCTTGGTCATTTGGATTTCTATGTTTAGGAAATTGAAATGTAGGAGACTAGGAGAGCTAGCAAGATAAATATGATACTACTTTTGAATTGTAGACTAGGAATGCTTAGATTAGATACACTAGTTGTGGTTCTACATTTTTTTTTCACATCAACAAAAGTTTGGTTAAAATCAAATTATTTTGTTATCGAACTAAAATAATTCGAGTTGCAAACCAAATTAATCGAATTAATTTTGGCTCGGTTTTAGTTTTCATTTCTCCTAATTCGGTTAATCGAAAACTAAAGCTGAATTAAACTTAATCAAACTTGTTTAACCAAATGATCACCCATACGAATTGGTTCCTCTTCCTAACCCTAGAAATTTTTTATTTCTAATTATCAAATTTGAGCCTAATTGGCCAAATTTAATTTCAATTTCATGAAAGTTTAGGTTAGGTCCCTTTTTTTTTAATTTTTCCTAGTTAAGAACTCTAACCCTAATTTTTACAAATTATGCAATTGAACCTAAATTGAAGCATCAAACATAAAATTGACTTGAAATTAAACTTTCCTATAGTGTAAGTGAGATTAACTTACTCAAATAAGCTCCAATTTATCCTTGGAAAGTTGGGTTGTTTGAAGATTTCTTCCTTCATCGTTTTCTCTTTAAATTAGGCAATATCTTGACATGTTTGAATATATATGTTGAATTCACATTTAAAATTGATCATGAAAAAAAATTAGTGTTGACACATATAATTCAAAAATGAGAGAAATGCTTTTTTGGTGCCCAACATTTGATTTTTTTTTTTGGCATCCAACCATTGATTTCTAATGATTTGTTACCTACGTTTTGATTTTTTTATTTATTTGTTTTGGTGCTTGACTTCACCTAAGATTCAATTTTATTGACATTTCCGATGAAAGATGCCATATAGCGAGTCAAAACGTGTCATATGACTATCAACTCTAGACATGTCAACACTCAAATAAAAAAAAATTAAAAGTTCGATATTGAAATAGAAAAAAAATTAAAGGTTATGAAAAAAAGAATAGTTTTTTCAAAAAATTTATTGTCTCATGATTGCAAAATCAGTCAACAATTTCTAATAAATGTTTTTCATATCATACCTATGGCTTTTTTTTACTTATCAAATATATATTTTTTAAAAACTTTGTATTAGTTAAATTTTACTTTTTAAAAATTCTAAACCCCTTTAACTATCTAGACAAATTTAATATTATGTCATTTAGTCCAAATATATATAAAGTCCAATTAGGAGTTAATCCAGAAAAAAAAGATATATAAAATCTAATTATGATTGCTATTTACGGGACAAATGGTTGGTCAATAGAGAAATTTATATATATAAAAAAAAAACAATTGCTTTTTCTATCTAGGGAGGAGATTGACCAATATATAATGGATGACATAAGCTTTTTATGGCCAATAACTTACTAAACTTTTTATAGTAGTACGAGATGGGATAGAATCTAGATGAATAAGTTTAGTGATTAATATTTTTTATTTAGACATTTGAAGTGCAATACTTTTTGTATCGGTGACGATAATGATATAGACAATAAATGAATTATGAATTAAGCTCAAAGTAAATGTACTTGTTAAAGTTACTTGTACAATTAGCATAATAACATGAAAATATGCATGTATATTATTGTTGATATTCTTAGAATTTAAGATTATATGATTTTTTATATCTAAAAAAAGTTCTAGGACACACACACACACACACACACATATCATTATTTATTTATTTATTTATTTTTATGTTTCGGTGCCTAACCTCTAATTTTTTTCCTATTTGAATGCTCACGGTCGCCTTAGATCATAAGGTGTTGATGTGTTTGGAGTTGAATGTCACGTGACACTTTTTGACTGCCATGTGGCGATACTAGTAGACACATTAGAAATATTAAAACTCGGTGAAGTCAAATACCAAAAAGAAAAAATAAAAAAATAAAAAAATAAAGCTTGGCTAGCAAATCATTTGAAATCAATAGGTTGACACCAAAATAACTAAATAATAATAATAATCAAAGGTTAGGCACTAAAAAAACCTTTCTCACTTCAAAAAATAGACGATGAGTTGCTCTCATAAACTTAATGCATAATACATTCCATATCTATACTTAATAGAAGACTATGGGGAGGAAAAATGTATTCATACACATTATTCTTCCATTTGATATTTTATCATACACAATAAGTTCTTATTTTGATCTTCTGAATTTTTTGAAAGTGGTTTTTTTTTTTTTTAGCTATAGAGTAGGCATGAAAAATTCTAAAAAACTTGTCAAATGTTATATAGACAACTCAAAATTCTACAAATTAATTTAATAGTAGAGAAAGGTAGTGACCTTAATAGATGTTTTTTTTTTAGCATTTTACAAGATATCATAACCAAATTACTAGAGTAGATAACTCTTAAGTAGATCAAATATCATAAATTTAAAAAATTACCACGACACTTTAATTTTTATGTCAAATATTAATTGATTTGCATTTTAAGTTGTAGGGGAAGCCAAGGTTAGATATCTACCAAATCATTGATGGCTCTTAATTCTACTTGATGAACATAGAGAAGAGGTAGAGACTTCACATCATTTGATGCAATATTGACTTAAATGAGAAGTTTGAAATTCTTTTCAAGTAAATCATCACTAAAATGACTTGAGAATTTTTGTTTTGCTAGCGTGGGGTTTAATTTTGAGTAGCTAATTTTATGCTTAAAGGTTGTCGTCCAACTTTAGAAGTTCTAAAGAATAATTATGGATTAAATATAATTCAAAAAGTTTATGTATTTTATTTTTCTCTTCAAGTTTTAGGTTATATAATGACTTGTCATTTTTTTTTTTTTTTGTAGTCTATCTTCATTAGTGAAAAAACCTATCCAACATCTATTCTTATTATTTTTGAATTAGAGATCCTTCCAATTGCCTTTACAATTTACCTACTAAACCTCCTCTATTAGCCATTTTTTTCCTTTGGTTTCAATATACTAATAAATTATGCATTGCGAGTGACTATAGATGAAGTGAAGGAAATCTTGCCAAGTAACAAGAATGTCTACTAGGTTTCTCACGAGGCTTTAAAGCACAAAATCCAAGTTGTTAACAAAATTCATTCAAATTAAGGAGTAAGATAAACTACAAGACTTGAAGAGAATGATGGAGTTTCAAAAAAAAAATCAATGAAGAAGATGAGAAAATGACATGGTCGGAGAGAAAAAACTTGAATTCAATATTTGGATAAGGAAAAAAAATCAAATCACCTTATTCATACAACATCTATGACGAGATGGCATGGCTATAGAAATAACTCCAAATGATTCATTTCCCTTAATGAGTCCAATTATCGACCATCACAACACTTTAGCATTGGTATCTATCTATTTAACCTTACCATGATAGTTTGTTCTTACTTGAACTCTTGTTTTTGTTAATTGTTCATTATTTTTTACCACAATACCTAGTGTGTTTTGGTTTTCCTTCACAACATAAAAAATGCCAACTTGAGATTTCTCCACACTATCAATATATAAGAGTTTCATCTTTTTTAACGAAAAACAAATGGCCCTACTTATCTACTAGCATAAGTCGTTAGTAATTCATAAACTACAAAATTCTTTTATTGACATATACATACACATATTTGTATAAAAATGTAACTAAATTAGTGAGTAAACTCCTCTTTTTTTAGAGAAAATATTTGTCTTAAGTATCAATAATGGTACCTCATGGAAACCCAACAATAACACAATTCTTCAAATCTTAAAAAGCATTGAGCATATATTTACATTTGGTGTGAGCAAGGATAGGGTTAAGTGGTTCATTAAGACATAATGTGAGGATGTCATATTGCCTTTAGTAGCTGCAATGCCTCTAGATAAAGAGTAGGCGGCAAAGTTTGAAGGGATGCTAAAGGTGATCAATAGCTTTGGCAACAAAATGTATGGGTTATAATTTGAAATAACTGAAGTGTGAATAATAATGTGTTGCACTTATGGGCAAGCTAAAAGTTCTTAGGGGTAGTTTTTATGTTTATTTTTCTTATTTATTTCTATTTGTGTTTCTAGCTTCTTTACTTTTAAAGTATGTTAATGAGTTTCTCCCTACGTTGTAAATTAATTCCACTTCGCTATTGATTTATTATCTCCATAACCGTTTAAGATGGATATGATGGGAAGAGCATCCTAAAGTTCTTTAGAACATGAATGCAATTTTTTTTCTTTTTGTTTACCAAAATAGTCTTTGGTTGTTAAAGATAGAGTTTGAGGGATTTTTTTTTTAATATCAAATTTGATTTTGTTGATCTTATAAAACATAAAGGTATAGTTACTATTTGGAATTTATAATTTTTTTTTTTTTGAGAAACGAGGACGATATCCTAGTAAATTTTATTAGCTAAAAAAAAAAAAGAAATATAGGGGGGCATACCGACCTTACCCTAAAAAAGGGGAGGAGGACTAGGAGAGCCTTACCTTAATAAGACTAAATGCAATACATATAAATACCTAAATAATCTAGCTTGTAAGCTATATAAACCTTCACAAGAAAATCCAAAACATGGTAAAAAACACAATGACCTATATACATGTAAGTATCATTAGCTAACCTATAAGCTTACCATTTTGTTGATGAAGGACATGAGATATAGAATGTGCCATTAATAATCTCTCACACTACTGAAGTTCTTTATCATACTACCACGATTTAGAGATTCGATGTTGTAATACATCAATTGTCACTAAAGAATTAGTTTCTACTAACATTGTCTGTAATAATCAAATCCTGGCACGACTTAAAACCATCCGGAAAAGCTTTTATTTCGCTATACATGTTTGTTCATGTGCCATAATAATGTGAAAAGCTAGCAACCATAACTCCTTTATTATTCCAATTGATGCCAGCACCTATGCCATATCCATTTCTAGAAGATCTATTTGTATTCAATTTGTAAAACTTATATATAGATGGTACCATTTTAACCCATGCCCTTTTGCAGGCATAAATCGAAGCAAAGGAACATGACATTGCTTTAGCTTATATTTACCTTGAAAGCTAAACTCTTTTTTTGTTGTATAAACAACTCATATGTCCAAAAGATGAACAACAATTCTTTTTTTAATCGAACTTACACTCATGGAAATATTATCATATCTTGCATGACATCTACCTCTCTAGATTTTCCAAAGGATAAAAAACATATTGAAACTCGACATATACCGGCCCGAGTTTTTATAACACACGACCAAGAATTAAGAAGTTCTAAGCTAAAACGATACTTGATTTGTATTTGAAAGATTCAGCCATAATTATGCCACGGTTATGTCACAATCTCCGAATGAAGAAACAAATGATCCAATGATTCCTCTTTATGGTTATGGCAATAGTGGCACATTGAGACTATGGGGATATTTAAGCATTTGATATTACTATCCATAGGTATAGCCTTGTAAATCCATCTCCAAATGAAGCTACTTACCTTGATAGGTATGTTGGTAGACCACAATTTATTACACCATGTACCTATTGGAGAATGGTTTCTACGTGCTTCCCAAAAGTCTTTTATAACAAAGCTGACTTGATCGTAAAAGAGTAAATACTAGCTTATATTTTATATCATCATCTAATTGGATATTACACACCGGTTTTTATAACTAATTAAGAATGAAGTCCATAAAATCTTTTATGTCTTAAATAGCCTCTTTCATGGTTAGTTTTTTATCTAATAGCAAAGGAGATGGAATGGCAGACCCACATTAGTTATTTTTTTAGAAAAAAAAATATTACCATTACTAATCCCCCATCATCTATTATCATTTGTAAAACCAAACTATTTTGACATTGATTACCATATGCGAGAAGCTAAGAGTTTTATAGGAGAAGTGAAGTCCCCACACTTTGCTTTCTTTAAACATGTCTATAAGTTATTACCTTGCAAATAGGATTACGCTAACTTTGCTTGCAAAACGTCCATCGCTTGTTGAAGACTACGAATAGCCAATCCTCCCTTTTTCAATGGCTAACCAATTACGTCCCAAAGAATTCGGTGATGCCGAGGTTCACTAATTAAACTCTAAAGAAAAACTACCATCAATTTTTCTATTCTTCAAAAAACTAAAATTGGGAATGGGATAGCGACCAATGCATGAATCGAGATACTATTCAAGACTAATTTAATGAGAGTAATTTTAACACCCAAAGTGAACATCTTTGACTTGCATCCACCGATCTTGTTGCCCATTTTAAGTTCAAAATCCTAGAAATGTATCTTCGTTATTCTTCCTATAGTAGTTAGGATGCCTAGATATTTCATATGAAGCGAAGTTGTGAGCATATAGTCCAACCTTGAATCTATTCTAGCCGAGAGGAAGATAACTAAATGAGAAGAAGATAGGCAAGAGGAGCATAAAAACCACTCTTTGAAGTGTTCATAAGCTGACTAGAAACCCCTCATATTTGACAATTAAATATCTCATATTCAAAATAGAGCGTTTCTCTTATTAGTAAATAGTAGCATGTCATCCGTATAAAATAAATAAGATATAGGATTAGTCATTCACCTTACCTAAAATGCTTTAATGAGACCATCCTTGTTTGCTCTATGTAAGTTATGGATAACCCTTATTAAACCAAAACAAAAAGCAAAAGAGATAGGGAGTCTCCTTGGCATACTCCTCTATTGGATTTGAAGAAACCAAAACTATATCCTTGTATTCGGATTATGTACCAAATGTTGCTGATGTAATGATACACCACCTTTCATTAAACCTCGATTCCCTCACAGTGCATATTAGGAAAGGCCATTCTACTCGATATATGCTTTGGACATATCTATTTTGAAGATTAGGCTACTACCTTAACCTTCAAATTTACCTTATGTACCATCTTATAACAATCCCAAAAGTAGGCCATGATCAACACGAGTACCAAGAGGATCATGAGGCCTACCTAGACCTAATCAAGCCTTGAATACTAATCTAAACCTTAATTCATGAACGAGACTTATACTATAGTCCTCGATGCAATATTACTCAAATCATTATTCTAGTCAAATATCATCTCGATTTGTATTATCATTATCTTGCAATCAATTCTTTAACCTTCATACAACTCATAATTTCATACCATTCTCGTTTTAATAATCAAGATCAATATTCATAATCAAATCTTAATACACTACCCACAACTATAATTGTAGAGCATTTAAGATTATAAATTTAGGCAAACATAGGTTGTAAAATTACAATTAAAGTGAGTCATATAACCAAAGTGCCAACTTCAAATCAAGCAACCGAAGAAAGGAATAAGCAATCCCTTAATATCCTCCAAGACTAAAGTAATAAGGGGTGACCAAATCACATCTCGGTGAGTAGACATGATATAATATACTAAGGAAGAAAAACGAGACCACGGATGATATTCTCAAATTCATGTCAAAATACAATGCTTATTCCTTAAAAACATATGCTTATCGAAAACATAATTCATACCACAAATCAAAAAATTCAAAACCATTTCGAATCAAATCATCAAGCATTTGTTCATACATATATCATACTCATACAAAAAGCACACACACGGATATATATATATAGGTTTTATACACCCATGTGATAATAACGTATCATTAGGTGCGAACACCTAAAGTTCATACCCCCGTGACTAGGTTTCTACATGTTAGCCGACATACGGTTTAAAACTACACCTCTCCTGCTAGATGGAGCCTTATATCATTGAGCTCAAAGGCTACCCCTCGGTAGCTAGGTTCCCCAAGGTCTTGAAAACATTTTTGAAAGCTAAATACACTTACACATTTTCAAATTGATATTTCAAATACCATGCATGCATTTTCATAAAATACACATATACTTAAAATAATGAACATAACATATTAATTCAAATCTAAAATCATATATCAATTTCAACAATAGATTGAAATCTTTTTTCCATTCATATCAAATCATTTTGATACGAAAACATCTCAAATATTTAAAATTTTTGTTTCTATCTAAGTTCTACTAGAATTCTTATAAATCATTCATAAATAATGATCCATGATGGACACTTCAAGAACTTTAAAATATAATACATAAAATAATATCCACTCACGAGTACAAATAGTGAACTAAAAGGAAGTCGGGATGGTTGGGACGGTGTTGCGCGCTACGAAGAATCTAGCATCACAAAATGATGGATCATCCATCAATATCGGATAGCAAGGAATAATCCAAACAATGAATTATTCTATAATTAGAATTACAAGATTATCAAATAAAAACAAAATTGATTTGAAAAGACTCGATTTGATAATCTAACTAAATTCTATAATCCTTTAATTGATTCTAAAATCTCTTAATCATATTCCTTTACTAATCTTTAATGCATCCTTAAACAATTAACTAACCCTTAATTTGATTAAACGACCAATTCTATTCTAATTCACTCAATAATCAATCCATTCATATTTAATTACACTTTTATAAATTAATTCCTCATTTTTCCCAAAATTCTTTCCAATTAAAACCTAAATCCAGATTATCACTATTCATCATCTTCAATCTCTCAATTTCTCAAATTTATTCAATTTTACTTCAAATTAACTCTATAATTCAATTGCTCAAAATAATTAAACATCAATCAAACACCTAGGATCACTTAATCAAACTTTCCCCTAAATGGGACTCAAGAAAATCATTAACCAAAGTAATCTCAATTCAATATAATCATTAACTACTCATAAACTTTACAATTCAAGATCAATGGATTAAAATCTTACCTTAAGAACTTATCCTCTAATTCTCCAATTTCTTCCTAGTTTCTCCAAGCTTCCAAGCTCCAATATAGCTAGAATCCACTTAAATCAACTAATTTATGCTTTCCTTAAGTTAATTTAATAATGAATTAACTTAAGAATTGAGGTGAAAATTGGGAGGGATTTTGAGAGTGAAAAACGTGAGAGAAGGAGAGGAGAAAGAAGAGAAAATCTAGAAAATGGATATTTTTGGCAATAGTATTACTATAGTGTTCGATAAACTTCTAGGAATTATGCCTCATTTGAAGTAATCTCGACTAGTCGAACCACATATGTTTTGATAATATCCCAACATCCAATAAAGAAATGACATATAAAGCCATCCGTACCTAGAGCAATATCTAAGTTTAACTCCTTAATTGCCTTGAAAATTTCCTTAGTTGAAAAAATGTCACCGAGATTTCATTACGCTTGTCTATAATCTTTTTCTCCATTCCTATAAAAATGTTAACATGCATATTCATAGTACCCAAAGAGAGCGAGCTTTTGGAAATATTCTTTTGTTGTATGCCAAATATAAGATATGTCTTCTAAAAACTCCCATCATCCATTCGATATTGAACTTTGTCTTCTTCATATTATCTTTAATATAGGCATGGAATAAGTCGTATTTCTATCCCCATCCTTAATCCACATTGCTTGAACTTTTTATTGTAACATTTCAGCTTCTCAACCAATCAGTTGGTTTAGATAATCTTTTGCTTTATATAAATCTATTGCCATGTTATCACTCTAACTTGAGATAAGTACATTTTTCAACTGAGCTATATCATCCCGAATGCCCCTTCTTTCCCTTGATACATGCCCGGATACACTCCATTTCCAAACCTTAAAAAGCTTCTTAATACGTTGTAATTTTGTTTTTAAGAGTGACTAGAGATGGTCCCTAAACCTATTCATTCCGTATCCGATGAACAAACATCATAAACTCTATACCATCTAGCCATATCCTTTAAAATTAAAACAAAGCATACCCACATTGTACCTTATAAAACCGAAGCGAGTAATGATCCGAATTAATTCTTACTAGATGCTCTACTTTAAGGTTAGCAAACTAGATTTAAATCTTCCATCCACTAGCACATTGTCCAAACATTGCTAAATATGTCTTCCATCCCTCAAAGTATTACACTAAGTGAATCTACTGCCTATGTATCATGCGGTCTCCAAACCATAGTATTTACAACAATCTCTAAAGTCCTCCATACCTTGGATATCACAGTCCATGCCTCCTACCTTTTCCGATGTGCTCACAATAACATTAAAATCTCCTTTTGTTAGCCAAGGATGATGAACCTAACTTGACATTTGATGCAACACCTACCAAAGTTCCTATATTTTTCCTCTAGTGTATTTAGCATAAAAAAAGTGCACATAACCTTTAGCCATTCTAATGAACTTAATAGAATCTGTGACAAATTGTGTTCCAATATCCACACTTTATATGTTATGCCAAAAAAACCATATGTGTGAGTTATTTAGATTATGGTGTTGAAAGTTAGGGAATTTAAATTTACGAGCTATTGAAATAATTTTACTCCCATCCAACTTAAGCTTAACGATAACTAACAAAATTGGCTTATACTTTATTTTAAATACTTAGTGTAGTTAATGGTGGTCATCTTGCATATTCATGTGCATTCCAAATAAGGACAAACATTAAAAGAGATTTGATTAAGTGTTAGCTTATGCTTTTGCAACTACTCTTGTGTGTCTCCTAGCAAACAGTTTTTCATGCTTCACTTTGTATGATAATTTGGTGAAGTTCTTGGGGATTCGTTAATCTTCTCTAGATAATCCTTTAACAAATCATTAACATTTGGAGAAGACCATTTGGCTTGATCAAGAATATCATGATTTTTATCCTTCATCGACTCTCATCTAAATTTAAACCCCCACCATAAAATCACATTCTCCTATACTATATCTTCAGTTTAGTTTATATCCCCTAATATACTATATTTATTCTGAATAATAAAATCTCTATTTCCATATGATAATCCTTCATTTGAATCAATATTTATAACTCTGTTTAGAAGACTTTTTTGCATTATCATCTCCTTCTAGTTGACTATGTGATTGAGACTCTTGTCATATTCTTTTGTAGCAATCGCATGCTCCTTAGGTAATGTCTTATTTGTGTTTCATCATTTTTCTACATTATCATCTTTTATTCAGTGAAACG